TTATTTACCACAAATGTGACCAGTTTTCATTGTAATTGGTATGATGTTTAAAATTTGAATTTCACATGTCTTTCAGTAATAGGAATAAAACCACTAATTCATAGCTCCATTGCTTTCTATGTTAAATTCTATGATACATGTATCAAGCATTAATGGCTACTTTGTCTTAAGTTCAAATAAAGTGGCAGTTATTTCATGTCAAAACTATACCTTATCCTTACTTGTGCTGAAAACTTCAACACACCTTTAATTGCATATTAGAGCGCACTGGTTCCGGAAGTTTGGGAGTAAGAAAACGGGTACTTCTGATCTGAACAACAGGCCAAATGTCCCCTCCTATTAAAATTTCATATATATTTTTTTTATTACTCAGAAGAAGCTGTCAACAAGGATTCTACAGTGATTCCAAATCCTTAAGCTTTCATTTGAAACCAACATTACCGAAATATTTAACTTATTGAAAAATAAACAGCTATGCGTAGGAACTATTTTGTTTTAAAAATTTTCTATTTTCTTGTATGTTCTTTCTGACAAGTCCCGAATAAGTGTTTCTATACTATAAATCTGGTGGAACATTTTTTTGTGTAAGGAGCACATCCCCGTTAATTGAGTCAGTATAATATGTACATGCATGAGCATAACGTCTAAACTAGTATATGCACACTCCATACGAAGGAGCAGAGATTATGTTACTGCTGCAAAATCGAAACTTGGCAATTGGAAGGATGAAATCATCACGTTTTTCATAGATTCTAGTTTGATGTCATCCATCTGTGTCAATATCTAGGAAAAGATTAAGGTATGAAGCAGATCTTTTATTTTCGGTAGAATCCTTAATCTTGAGTTAACGGGATTTAATAAGATGTAAGCATTAATGTATGTTATCGAGTGAGATTGTGGGTTGTCTTTAAAAGACAGGCGAAAGATACCAGAGGGACACTCAAACTCATAAGTCCAATATAAACTGACAACGCCATGGCTAAAAAAGAAAAAGACCAACAGACAAACAATAGTACACAAAACACAACATATCAAACTAAAGACTGAGCAACACGAACCCCACCAAAAACTGGGGGTGACCTCAGATGCTCCGGAAGGGTAATCAGATCCTGCTCCACATGTGGCACCCGTCGTTTTGATCATGTTAGTACAAACCCGGTAATAAGTCTAATTCGGTAGGTCACATTCGTGAAAGGGGACCGGATTGCAGTTACGACGTTAGGAACATATCCGCTATCATCCGTGAAACGGATATTCCATAATGGTCAACCAACTCGTGATGGCGTCCGTAAAATTTACGAAGGGATGATTTCAACTTCACCACTTGGAACTCTTGGTTTAATAGCTTCCTTGTGAGCAGCAACCCTCTGTCAAGGAAATCATGATAGGAAATACAAGCCCTTGAATATCATATCAACTGGGAGATCTATACTCCGTATGCTGGCGCTGCTGGAATGTTGCTACATAGAAATGGAAAGTTCAAGATTGGGAAGCTGAAATCATCTTTTTTGTCGTAAAGATTTGTTTTCAACCGATCCTCATTGTCAATTCTAGCTGTAAGTCAAGATATGCGGCAGACTTAACTGTATCTGTTGTATCCTTTATCTCAAGTTCGATGGGATAGAACAGGGGCACAGTTGGTTTCCATAGGAATGCCGATTGTTTGTTGAAAAACACGTCCTCCAAACGTCACAAATATGTTTTCAATCAAGAAATCAAGCATTTGATTATGTCAGTTTCAGAGAATTTTTTGTTTGAATCAGAGTGACTTTTTACAAAGTATATGTTGAGTTTCCAAATGAATTGTTAATACCTAATTCATTTATCAAGCAGTTTATGTAATGTGATTTACACACAAAAACCATGTTGTTTGGGGCTTTATCTGCGGGAACAACAACATATTTGTCATGGAGATAGGACAAGTGTATTGCAACATTTTGGATTTTTTGTTTTTTGCTTTTTTGTTTTTTTTTTTGTTTTTTTGGTCGGGTTCGTGTTGCGTATTTAAATGTATGACGTTATATGTCCAGTTCCGGTGTCAGACTTTAAAATCGGACATTTAAAACATTTTTGTACGCTTTAGAATGGAAGAGTATACGTAATTACCTAATTATGGAACTTTCACAGCTTCAAGAACTAACTCATACATATTCTGATGTTTGATGGACCACATCATAATTTCATATAATAATATGTTTCATAACCTGTGAGAATTTGATATCACTTCATATCAATTCGAGTAATTTCATTTTGTTTATAATAATAAACGAGCCTTTGGCGAGTTGATTATTACTATCGGAATTAAATAAAGAGATATGATATCAAGATATATCCAATTCTTAAAAGTTGTTAAACATTCGCATTGATATTTCTTTTATGGCAAACATTCTCGAAGTGTTAAATAAAACATTTCCGCAAATCGTTTATGAAGTCTTCCTAGTTTTTTTGTTGTTTTTTTTTTTTTTTTTGGTGGGGTTCGTGTTGCTCATTTAAATGTAAGACGTCATATGTCCAGTTCCAGAGTCAGACTTTAACATCGGACATTTAAACTTTTTTGTACGCTTTGGAATGTAAACAAATAACAACAAGAAAGAAGATTTCCATGTGAAAAGTGTGAGTGTTTTGATTATTATTGAAGAAATCGCATATTTCCGTTACCATGGACGAAATGCACATAGTCCTAACATTTGCAAGCGAACAATGACCTAACGAGCGGCCAATGGAAATGTCGCAATATTGTATTTCGTTGATAGATAAGCCAATCAAATTAAAGAACAAAATTAATGTCTGGGATAAAGTAATAAAACTTCTCTTTTCAAACTGCTTTGCTTTTGATATTTTGTTTTACTATTGCATCTTGTTGAACTTAGGTTTTTTAGGGGATGTCCAAAAGGGCTACGTAAGCTCTTCTTGTCACTCAGCGATGAGCCTGCCTGCCAATTAACAGCACATTCTTAAAACGTATAGTACTAATTGACCTTAATTCATCCATGACATCAGGTCATTAGACTGGAAAATGTCGACGTCCCAGAGAAGTATAATTCTGCTTTCGATTTTTATCTGCCAAATATTAATGAGTTGGCCAGTCATAGAATGAATGCCATAAACTGTTTAAAAAGTGGTGATTATGCTAACTGCTTCTTTTGAACATGCTGGATCAGTGATGTATATAAACCTCTCATATGAACATGTTTCAAATCGAAAACCCATTGGAAGTCCTCTTTGTATAATAGTACTTAATATATATTTAAACCCCTTTTCCCTAAAAGTGCCGTAAACAATAACCAGATAAATTTGAAAAAAAAAGTTGGAAGAAAAGTGGTCCTAGATCATATCCAAATGTTATTTGGCTGCCATGATTTTTGACTGGTTGACAAATTTTAGACCTCTCTTTCAACTAGTCCAAATCTTAAGTGGTACTTGTATGAATATATTATTGTATTCTCCTTTAACAAATTGTGTTGCAATTACTGTACCCGATTTTCAAAATAACAGCAGCGATCTCTGATACATTTTCAACTCCTCCTACGAACATATAGAGCCATTCATACCAAACTTGGTAGGGATGTTCATTAAATTGTTATTATCCAAATTTGTGTCTGAAGACAAAGGCCTGTTATATAAGGGTTAACATTGGGCCTGTATGTTCTTTTGACTGCTGATTTGAATATTTTTTTATTTACTGAAAATGTTGAGAAACCGGTCTAACAGAGAATTGTATGTAGTTCGTATCTTGTCAACCATATTTGCTGTATACATTTTTCTTTATCTACTACAGTTTTAGTCAAAATGGAAAACATGGGTACTAATCATCATTAAACGAAAATAATTTCTATAAGCGATTGACCACAAATTATTATGTTTTCAACTATCGGCAAAAAAAAAAAAAAAATGGTAAAAATCGTAATTTCAAGACAAAAACTACAATAAGGAGTCGTCTGACAATTTTTATCAAAAAAATGCAGGTAGTTCTTGGTATTCTAAACAAATTTTCCTATCTATAACGGTATTAAATATAATAGGTAAGACTTGCATTATATCACTTTGTTCTATTTTTAGTATTGGCGACCATGTTGGTTGGGAAACAGGATCATTTTTTTTAACTCGATATTTCTAAGGATAATTGTGAAATGTTTGGTTCCATTTAGGCTTAGTAGTTTCAGAGAAGATTTTTGAAAAACAACAACGACGACGGACGCAAATGATGATAAAATCTCATTAGGCAATTTTGGCTAGGTGATCTCAAAAAGGAGATGGGGTATGATAGTCAATGAAACTGCTATTCACTGGATTCCATATGAAATGGATACAAGTAACTATATGCCCTCGTTCGTTATTATTTATCTATTCATCTGTTATGACTTTCGGAAATGATGTTGTGTGTAAGAAAATATTTGGGGTTGTCCCGTGAATAGTGTCCATGTTTACAGAAATACCTTTTGAAACGCAACCTCATTCTTCGGGTGTGAATCAAGAATTTATTTTTTTAAATTGCTTAGTTAAGACGGAGCAGGCGTCGAATGTAAGCACTACCACATATCCATTCCAATTGATTTATAATAAAGTTGTATATGCAGAAAGTCAAAGGCAATGTTTAAATTTGCTCCTCCGATAAAAATATTAATAAAAACAAATAAACGTTTTTCAAGTTCTCGGAATTTTTAGTTCTTAATGTTCTTTAACTACGTTTTTGATTTAGCCTTCCAACTGTTGTAATTCGAACACAATTGATTAGTCTAATGAAGATAAAACACGCGTCTGCCCGACCAAATTATAAGTCTAGTGTCTTTGGTGATCTATTGTATACCCTTAAGAACCTGAAAAGCAATTAATATATGTGAGCAGCGAAATTGTATGGAATGCAAATTATGTTGTTTAATGCAATCACTGGAGGGTCCATGCGAGTCCTTTTTATTATCAGGAGATGTCATGTAAAAGGAAAAATTAATCATGATCAAGACTGAAAATTGTGTTTTGTTTTTTAATTTTTTATTGCTTCATAGACACTTAAATCTGACAATAAAGCAGAATTTATTTTCAAAATACAATGAATTCATCAGTAACTTGTAACATTAACAATGCAACAATGTTTTGTCAAAATAGAATTCTGATAACGTTGTCAAGCTCAGTTCAAAATCAATGTCACCAAAACATCAATGTGCGGTTAACAAGTTTAACGATCAAGATCAGCATTATCGAGAAAAAGGTAAATACAAATCAAATGTAAAACTGCATGAAAACTATCCACAAAAGGAGAGTACTATGGGCTACTATCAGATAAATATACACAATGTGAACTTAACCGTCAATTGAATTCTGGTTTTGAGAGTCAACCATTCAAAGGCATACAAAACATTACTTCCGATTCTGTAGGATGTCATGAAATAAAGGAAAGCAACATGTATGAATTCCTTCCACCTGTACTCCAAAAAATACTTAAAATAATCACATCTATTATATTATCTACTACGTCTGGAAAAGAATAACCATAACATTTCTGTCACCTAAATACTGCTTGAATTTTAATATATTAGTGGGGCAAAACTATGTGGATAGTAAATGCGCCTTTAAGTTTCTTTAATTACCTTCTTATTTTGTTTTCAGTGAGGAAAACACAATTTCCGAGAGGTTTCTATTGTTGAATAAATTCATATTTTGTTTAGATAAGCTATCATACGGCGTGGGTACTACTTCATTGTTTAAGAATATATGTTTTCCTGTAGACGTCTATTTTGGTAACTTTTAATGTCGGATCGTTTAAAAACAAAGTAACTGTAAATGTAATATATTATAAATTAACAGTACTAATTTCACTGACATTTCATGTCTCTTCAGGGATGCTCGAGGACAATACATTTTAAAATCCAAAACCTCTTACAAACGTTGAAGAGCTGATTAAACCAGAAAGAACCTAAAGTAAAGCTAATTCCGGACAAGGAATCAGAGCTTTCATGCGGGAGATGTGTTCCTTAGTCGAAAATAATTTTAAAATTTTATAACTGTTACAGCAAATTAGTTTTAAACAATATCCGTATTTTCCTGACGTACTACTGTTCTCTGCAGATGACAATGGAAGTCTACAAGCAGTAAGTTTACTTAATTGCAAGTTTTATAAGCCATCCCAGCAGGGTACCCGTATCCATCAAAGGATAATTTATTCCCGTAAACCCATAATCCAAACCGAACTTTATTTCTATGTTCAATATGATGAAATCCTGCTAATATAGGCACACTGAAAGTGCTAAAATTATTCATCCCTTCAGAAATGCTAAACATACTTCGAATATTGGAAGAATTTCCATCCAGCAAAAAACCATCAACAGCATCTCTCCGTACTGTTATGCTTATAAAGCTGTCAAATGCTTTTGGAACAACGAAATCATATTTATTAAGATATTGATTTACTCCTGGAATCGTCATCATAAACGAATCTCCTTTTCCTCTTTCTAACCCATGTGGATATGAGATGACAAGTATGTCAGCCGATGATAAAATAAGAGAAACAGTGTTGTAGTAAAAATCCAAGAAATCTCTTGCGTTTAGTGTTTTTGATATTGTCTTTTTACCAGTTTTAATGGTTAAATAAGTACTGTTTATCGCCTGAATACGAACAGTGTTATTCAAACGTGTCGATATATGTGGTGTTATGAACAGATTATCTAGTTGGTTAGTTGGTAATACCAATTCAATGAATGGTTGACAACCACCTGTGTTGATTTTTTGTGGTACTGCAAAGTTACACCGATTACCACTGACCACAATAACTGGTTTTGAAGCTGTAACCAAAGTTCCTGATAGGTCAGAAGCATGTGATAACTGAAAAGTGTTATATTTGTTTATAACAATTCTAATTGTGTCGTTGTTATTATATTGCTTGCTTTTATACGTTATAAAACCGTTTTCCAATTTTAAATTTATACTGACAGCTGTATTTTGAAAAACTGGTGAAAGTGCCAATATATTCTTATTGTAACTTTCCAAAAATAAAGGTAAGGTCGGTATAATGTATTTTGTAGAGGCAAATTTCATAGGCATGGATAAGAATCCCTCAGAGAACTGGTTCCCATAATAAAATCCGTAAACATTTATTCTCACATCGGAGAGAAGTCCTACTCCTGCTAAATGTATCCCATCAGACGGGATAACACTGATACTCAGACTATATTCTGTATTATTTTTGTCAATGATGATAGACTGATTTGTATGGTTGAAATAGCGTAATGAAAGACGTGCAGTATTTTCTGATGCTACCAAAACGGTCCGCGTAGTATATCGTTCTCCTGCGTGAAAAATTACCATGAACCTTGTGTCTTTTCCATCTGTAAATATTTTATGAAATAACATTAATCATTTACAAGTTATGCATAAGTAGAATACTATTAATTTCGTTTTAACATAATTCATACTCGTTTCTTACGAGCATCTTTTGCATTTACTAATAATTTGTTTAAAAAGATATATGGCTTGCTTGTTTTGCCTAAAACAAGCAGTTAGAATAGAACAACGACTAGTCCCATATGTCGTGATATCGATACATTAAAATTATGTAGCACCTGTTTTTACAAAAAAAGACGTCACTGTTATCACCATTTCTAACAATTTTCTTTTATCTTCTGTTGTTCAAAAACATTTAGAAATTTACAATATTCGTAGTAAGTTCATATCATTATCAAAACTCTATTCAATATTTCGAGAGGTCTACAGCTTTTCTGTAGCTGCATTGACAATACTATATACGGTTTTGGGTCTTTTTAAAGATGTTGTAAATCAATGTGTAGCAAAAAAAGGAATTGAAAATAAATTAAAAACCAATTGTTCATAGAACAATTAAAGGTCTTTCCACCGTAAAGATTCACTTTGTATGAAAATAATAAAATTCGGTTTAAAATGTCATTTCCAGCATCAAATGATAGCTTGTTGTACGCTGATTAAAAAAATATAAAGTTCATATACACTTTCGTTTTAAATAAGGGAGATAATTTGTTACTTCCGGTTTGATAAATGTCACTTCCGGTATTATTTGAATGTTAACTTGACACTGATTCCAAAAATATATAGTTCTATATACTTTTATATTAAATAAGTACAAAAAATAGCTACTTCCGGTTTAAACAGGGTCACTTCCGGTTGGCTTTTCCAAGGTAAAATGGCTTGCAACGAATGCAAAAAGTCCCATGGCTTTATCATGTATGCATATGAGGTTAAAGCAAAGGTCAAAATCTAGAACGTCAAATTTACTTATGACCTTGAGCTCAATTTCAAGGTCATTAACCAAGGACCTCAAATTTACTTATGACCTTGAGCTCAATTTCAAGGTCATAAACCAAGGACCTCAAATCAAAAGACCCTAAGTCTTAATTATATATGGTTAATGAGTTATATCTCCATACGCGTATTTTTAAATACAAGAGGGGAGAAAACTTTAATTTAATGTTAGCGTACCCTTTAAACCAAAATGTATGTGTTAAGACATGTCGCAACTAACAATTTAGTTATAATTATTTGTCGATATCTTATACAGTTTCTAAAAAGAAGTGAAAATAAGCTAAAATTAAAATTAAGAACATGACCTTGACCTTTGACCTTGACCTTATTTTCTTTTTTTTTTGGACCAAGGACCTCAATTCAAAAGACCCTAGGTCTCTATCACTTATGGTCTACCAGTTACAATTACATTTTTCTTATTTCAAATACAAAATGGGAAATAACTCTCTTATGGAGTCTCCAAACCGCTTCGGTCAAAATTATTTTTAAGATCCTGAGGATATAACGAGCAAATTGGTGAAATAATTTTGTCGTTATCTTTAACGGTTGCGAAGGAGATGCGCACACCAGAAAAACAGTGTTTAGGGAGATAACTCTTACAATGAAAAGTGTTCGGCTAAACAGGGTCAGTTTCAAAATTGCAATAACTGTTCGATATCATATGCAAAAAATCTAAGCGACATATTGCGAAACCACAAAGCACCGTAAGAAAAATGTGGCGGAACAAGAAAAAACTAATAACTAAAAACCAATTGTTCAGTGAACAATGAAGGTCTTTCCACAAAAAAACATGTATTTTAATATGAAATTAGTAAAATTCGTTTTGAAATGTCATTTCCAGCTTCAAATGACAGCTTATTGTACGCTGATTCCAAAAATATATGGTTTCTATACAATGTTTTTTAAATAAGGGAGATAATTTGTTACTTCTGGTTTGAAAAATGTTACTTTCGGTATTATTCAAACGTTTAATTGACACTGATACCAAAAATATCTGTTTCTATAAACTTTTACATTAATTAAGTACAAAAAAAAGCTACTTCCGGTTTACACAAGGTCACTTCCGGTTGACTTTTCTAAGGTTAAATGGCTTGAAACCTAATGTAAAAGTCCCATGGATTTATCATGTATACATATGAGGTAAAAGCAAAGGTCAAAATCTAGAACGTCAATTTAACCTATGACCTTGAGCTCAATTTCAAGGTCATCAACCAAGGACCTAAAATCAAAAGACTCTAGGACTTAATTATATTTGGTTCATGAGTTATATCACCATATGCATATTTCCAAATAAAAGAGGGGAGAAAACTCTAATTTGATGTAAGCGTACCCTTTAAACCAAAATGTATGTGTTATGACATGTCGCAACAAACAATTAAGTAAAAATTTGGACCAACGACCTCAAATCAAAAGACCCTAGGTCCCTATCACTTATGGTTTACCAATTACAATTACATTTTACTTATTCTAAATACAGAAGGGGAAATAACTCTCATATGGAGTTTCCGAACCGCTTCGGTCAAAAATATTCTTAAGATCCTGAGGATATAACGAGCAAATTGGTGAAATAATTTTGTCGTTATCTTTAACGGTTGCGAAGGAGATGCGTAAACAAGAAAAACAGTGTTTGGGGAGATAACTCTTACAATAAAAAGTGTTCGGCTTAACAGGGTCAGTTTCAAAATCGTAATAACTGTTCGATATATGCAAAAAATCTAAGCACCGTCAGAAAAAAATGGCGGAAGAAGAAAAAAAAAATAATAATAATCAGAACAAATACAATAGGTCTTTCCACAGAAAAGTGGAAAGACCTAATAAAAATTAAAAACCAATTATTCAGGAAACAATTGAAGGTCTTTCCACAGCAATTTTTAAATTTATTCAGAAGAAGCTAGTGAATGTTTACTCAAAGTTAAAATTGGCATCTTATCATCAGTTTCTTCATACTGATGCGATAAATAAGTGGTTTCTATATACTTCTGAGTGACATAAGAGAAATAATTAGCTACTTCCGGTGAAGTAAATGTCACTTCCGGTCTCATATAATAGTTTCTTTCACACTGATTCCAAAAATGTATAGTTATACTTTTGCTTGTAAACCAGGAGATAATTGGCCACTTCCGGTTTATCGAAAATCATTTCTAGTCTTCAGTGATAAGTTAATGTATTAAAATTACAAAAATATATGGATTCCAAGTACTTTTCCATGAAGAAAGTGCAAAAATCCCTACTTCCGGTTTTCTCAAGGTCACTTCCGGTTGTCATTTTTCAAGGTCATATGTCATCCAACCTTTTGTAAAAGGTCATATAGCTTTTTAATGAACCAAGTTGAAGTAATAATCAATTAATCTTATAATTGGACATTTCAGGGGCACTAACTCCTATAAGATGCAATTAGATTGTTTCAGACCAAATGTAGCATATCTTCATTACAATAAAGCAAACATTTTGCACTTGTTGTTTCATATATATCTTTAAAAGTGTTTGAGAAAATGCAAATACAAGGAAAAGTCAAAATCGAGAACTTGACCTTGACCTTTGACCTTGACTTTATTTTCTAAGTTAGGACCTAGGGACCTCAAATAAAGAGATTCCAGGGTTATACGGTTAACGGTTTATGAGTTAAAAAAACATACAGACAAATTTATTTGGTAAAAGTAGATAACTCCTTTAAAATTCATCGAATCGCTTCGATCCAAATTAGCCAAAAATTCCCGAGGATGTAACAAACATTTTTTTCTTTTGTTACGAAGGAGATGCACACACTTGATTAACAGTGAATAGGGAGATAACTCTTACAAAGAAAATTGTTCGGCTTAGAATGGGTAAAAATTAAAAGCGCATAAACTGTATGATACTATATAAGAAATATCTTAGCGACATATTGCGAAACAAAAATTTTATGCGATAACAAAATTTGGCGGAAGAAAAAAAAATAATAATCAGAACAAATACAATAGGTCTTTCCACAGAAAAATGGAAAGACCTAATAATCAGAAGAAAATCAATAGGTCTTTCCTAAGAAAAGTGGAAAGACCTAATAAAGAGATTATGAATAAAAACAAGAAACAAAATAATAAAAACAACATTTTTTACAAGGTCATACTTTGCTTTCATCTAATTGACATTCAAAATTTCAAGTCACAACATCCATAGATATTGTATACAAAAAGTCCATTTTACAAAAATTTGACAATCGCTTCCCAAATTTTACTAAAGCACTGAACCGTTCATGACTGCTGCAATTTGCGGTTGTAGTTTAGGGTATTTCGCTTTTATTTAGGGCAGAGCCAATCACTCGTAAATATGAGCATACAAATAAAACTTTATACCATGGTTAGTAAACGGAGACACTCAAGAAGAAAAAGTCAGATGAATTCTCTTTCCGGTAATCTGTGAAAATTTGAGTTGTAGGTCAATAAAAACACACGTGTTTAGGGAAGAGTAAAACGCATTAATTTCAATATAAAACAGTGAGATTCAAAAATATGATGTTGCTGGGAAAGAACCACTTTCCTCCTATAAATTAAAATAATCAAAAATAAAAAGAAAAATTAAAGAAAGACATCCAAAAAAGATTAGTGGTCGGTGTAAAATCATAAATTCAGGAAATATACGGTTATGCTGCTTAGCATTGCATTTTCTCAAGTAAAGTGGCTAGGAGAAAAATTTAGTTTCCTATACATCAAACTATAACGTATTATTTTAGGTAGTTTTCAAGACCTAGTCCGATTGCTGGGTCGTTCAGATGAAAGGCAGACACAATTATTTGAATTCTTTACAAAATTCTAGCGTTCCAATAAATGAATAACTGCACCAAATTAATACATTTAGATATTGAATTGAATGATTCCTATTTCATACAAAAAAATGCAAGTACGAAAACGACACTACACGTTTATCTTTTTTTTTACCCGGTCAGGGATCAAACTCACTTCTTCCAACATTGAAGGCAGACGCAGCGCCACAAAAACATGAAGACTGTTATTTTGCACAACATTTTAATAACTTAACAAAATATATTAAGTTTTTTTCATAACTGAAGCATCTATTTTAAAAGGTTACAACCAATACCTTAATTGTCGTCTTGTAATTAGACAAACCATTTTAGAATAGGATTTTAAAACTGGCAAATTTTAGTTTTAACCGTGGTTTTAACAATAGTCAGTGGGACACAAATACTGGAGTCGAGTATAAACTATGATAAAAAAACGCAAGTTTCTTTTTATCCGAATAACCACACTATCCTTAAACGGCAGAACATCTCTCCTGACTTTTCAGCAATGTTCGCAAACGAAATAATTGATACCTGAATCTGTCATACAACAGCTGAAGAGCCGTATGTTATTTGTGTCATTCTCTTTATAATAAACAGTGGCACTTTTACGTCTTGAAACCACGTCAGAACTGCATTTTCATGACTTGTAAAATCATATCGTTTACTTAGCTGTTTTCAAACTCAAACTACAGCGGCAACGACAACTTGGACAACTAGGTTATATATAAATATAGTATCTGCATCCGAATGATGTCTTTCTTGGTCGGCAAAATTAGAGTTCTAACACATTTGAAGATATACTTATTCAGTTCATCCTTATCTAATTATATATATATGCCAATGACTTTTGTTGGCACAAATATCTTGGTGCGTACCTCTTTACTTGAAACAACTCTGCAATATATTCACTAACTTTCATAGCCAACCTATACATATAATATCCTTAAATCAGCGTGAGGTTAAATAATATCTTATATAATTTTTGGCGGATAGGTGAAAAGGACGGAGAACGGTAAAGTGTATAAAATGAGGTGCTCGATTCTTCATTTTATCTCGAAATTAAAACTGTTAAAGATTTATTTTCTTTCATGAACGTCCAAACAAAGGAAACCTTGAAATCAATGACATCAATGATATCAGCTCATTCGTTTTGGTACCTAAGATAAATTTGGCTATAATTTGTTGGTCAATTGTGGTCATACTGCTCATATGTGTTTATGTACTTATACAACATTTGCTATACATTTTTTGTCTATAAGCTCATTAGTCAGTGTTTTGGTACTGACATGATCTACAACATTCTTTTTTAAATTCACCTTTTTTTAATTAAGAAATTATTAAAACAAACTACTGTTCGAAATTGCCTCAGCCAAAAAGGACCTTAGATAGATTAGACTAATATTTTAGGTTCTTTTCTGGTCATAAAGCTGTTCGTGTGTTTAAGAACTACTACAGTATTGGCTTTAACAATTTTTGGTTCGAGCGTTCCTGATAAAAGTTAATCCAAAATGATGCTCCGAACGGACCAAATTTATAAACTGTTATTTTCTCATTTTATATCTTACCTGAATATTCACAGTGTTTACCGAAGAATCCCGCTGAACATTGGCATCTGTTACTATCATTACACCTCTGCTTGATTTCACCATTGTGACACATTGTATAATTATCTGGAATAAATTTAATATGTTTTAATGATAGATAAACTCATCATAGATATCAGGTACCAGACGCGCGTTTTCTCCACTAAAGACGCATAAGAGACGCTCGAACCCAAAAAAAGTTAAAAAGGCCAAATAACATACAAAAAAAAAGTATAACAAAAATAAACTCCAAAGTAAATCCAAAAAGGTGAAGTCCATAAAAACTGGCACAATCAAACGTTATCAATCAACAAAACGGGTGAAAAACAAATTCAGTACAGGTATTTCCAAAGAAAATGGTGGGTTTTATAGCTACCTAAACTGTCCTCTCGTATGACAAAGTAGAAGAGCATTGCGGACCTATGATATTTTAAAGGCATTGAATAAAGAGGCATTAATAACAAAATGTGTAAACGTCATCTATTTAAATGTAAATGTGATAGTAATGTATGTGAACACTCATTTCAGAGTTATAAACCCTTTCACTAGACGTGCAACAAAAAAAATGTTTTAATCAAAATGAACAGGTAAATTGGGTGGACTGAGTGCGTTGTACATGTTATTGAGTGGGGTTGCTATTTTGATAGATTATAATAGGAACACGATTATTTATCAATATAGCCTGAAATATTGAAATATAAGGATGATGACATTTAATAAATAAATTCAGGCGACAGTAGTATAACAATGATCAGATCTAGTAAATTGATTAGGAAAAGACACGATTCAAGATAACAAACAAAAACCGAGTGAATTGCATGAACTCTAAAAGACCTAAACCGGGGATTTAGACAATGTACACATGTCCTGCTATGCATTATTTTCAATGTTTCCTTTTTTGCAATGTCCAATGCATTAATCTTGATTGAGATAAATGAGATGTGAACTACTGTCTAAAATGATAAGTTTACATGGTTAAGCATGTCATGAAGATAGCTTAAAGCGAAAACACTTATTTTATTTACACGATCTTCTTTTACAGAAGGTGTCGCATGAATTATGTAAGATAAGTACAAGAAAACGTTTATTAGCAAGGACATGCCTTCATTTTCAAATACATTAGCTGTGAATTGTAATATCATCTGGTCAATGAATTTCTGGATAATTTTGATTATAATTTGGGTGCTCTTGTATCTATTGTGGTTCTCAACAGATATTGTTTTGTCGACCTAGAATGAAGTTTCTTTAAATACATACAATGAAACATATGTACGACTTTGAGGTGCGTTGAGACATTTAAGTGCAATAGTCACGTGGACGTGGTCTGCGCCGAGTTGCAATGGTACTATCGAGATGCAATCCAGAACTTTGATAATATAAGAATAAAACGATTGTATGTATTTTTATGTCGAACTATTTGTATCATTGCTTAATCATGCTATAACAACATTTGTGACAAAGCTGATGATATTTGTTTTTGTAAACGTTTATTTTCCTGGTATAGTAAAGTTTTAAACAAGTGTAACCTATAAACCAGGACCCGAACCGGCATCATCCCTACATCTGATTTAAGTAATTTAACCAGCATGAGACACTCAAGTAATTGATAAATACATTAATCAATTTATCTAAATAGACAAATAAACTTTCATCCACGAAATATACCACTGGACTCTAACGCTCATACATGATTGAATAATTTCACATTCTTTTTTGTTTCAAACGTGGCATATATAGATATGTGATAGTTTTATAAAATGCGCTCTCTTTGTTTTCACTTTCCCGCAGTTTCGTCCCATTTTTCTTTTCAATTGCTGCCAATTTCATATCAATATCTGCCATTTTAATATCAATATTTGCTAATTTCTGCTTTAGCTGAGCTAAAATAAAAATAAAACTTTCAAACCAGGGACATGTGTTACAGCAAACAGCAAGTAATGATTTTTCGTTTCATTAACGGCATCAGTTTTACTATAATTGGATTTTCATTTATTGGTAAAAAATAATGTTTTGGCGATCACCTTGAAATTAATTCAAATAACATATAAAATCATTGTTCTTTTTTTCTATTATTGTTTTAAGATGACAATAAATTATCAAGTCACATTTGAAAGTTTAAAAATGAGGAGATGTTGTTTGATTGCTCATCAAAAAACTCTCCACCAAAGAACAATGGATTGTAATATAAACAGCTGCGGGGTCACTGAACAGCTTTCGATTATTAGCAAAACCCAAACGATATAGTGAGCTATCCAAGGTTTTTTGCTTTAAACTTTACGAAATTTTAATCTATTTCTTTTAGAATAAGTTATATACAAATGCAATGGAATAATAATTGTCATTTCAACGGATTTATGAAAACCAAAATCAATTATCTTGTAGAATTTTATGTTATAAAAATGCTTTTCCAATCCGTTATGAATGCCACTTATCACATGTTTAGTGCTTAATTTGACGAAGATTGAGAGTTCATAGCTGTTTTACATTGTATGATTTCGTGCCGAAATTACTTCCCTGCCTAACATCAATGTGATAGTGTTGTGGAAACGGTAATTTGCAGAGTCGTCATCTACTTTTTATTTAATCAAAAACAAGTCAAGAATTGTGTGATAGTGGTATCGTATTATTCTGTTACACATAATTTATATAAACTTCTCAAAAAAATATTTTCATGTGTTTAAAAATTTATACTTCAAATGTACATACTTCAGTTATTAATAATAGATAAAAGATTATAATATAGCCATACATCCAATCGAAGAGATATAAAAGTGCTTCCGTCAGCTGAGTTAGGTACAAAAAAGGGCAATGTAATGCCAGGGGAAAAACTGTCGTTAGAGTAGCGTTCAGATATCACCTACTGGTGGAGTTTGCTGCTTTTAGTGGAAATCATATTGTTTTATCTTTTGTGTTAATTTTTTGCCTTTAGCTACAGTAGCTGCAATTGCAATAATTTTGGAGATTTTGTAATAAAATTTGAAGTTATGTTAAAAAAGATTCGATTGTGATTAAGCCGGAATTAACCAACACTTAAATATATCTTGATGAAAACATAGAATCAAAAATACGTATTTATTACCAGGTTGTATATCGTCTCTGGCTTTTGGGGAATAGTAACCATATAAGCATATCTAAAGTTGAATTAAATTGATAATATCCCGTGGATATAGGGAATAAGGAACGTATCGATAAAACAATAAATGTCTTTTTCATAATTGCGTCCTTTTATCCATTTTGAAATAGTTGATGCCATAAAGCTAAGATTGTGTACAGCTCGTATGAATTATGAATGGCAAACAATTACAATTTATAGCATTTGTTCAATTTAAATGACCAGAATAACAATCTTGAGAAAATGAAACTATTTACTGCAGTTTGACGATAAAATTTTATAGGTTCATCATATACCTGTATGGTACTATTTCCTTTCAGGACGATAGGTCTTTCTTAAATTTTGCAGAAACAACCCGGACGATACCAAGTTTAAATAAAGTGGGTTTCTATGCATAAAATAATAACCTATGTTGAAATCCAGTTTGTTGAAACATTGAATTATTTAATAGTAATCGTGGGGTTTTTTTGTTTGCCAATAAGCATTTTACTGTATCATTTTCCATCATTAATAATTCTTTAAAGGTTTTAGACAGAACCAATGCTTTCCTCCTTATATTAGATAAAACGCAGAAATAATGTAATGTTCTGTTAATATATCGTTACGATATAGGGACATTACAGTATGCATTATCAATAAGTGAATTGATTGTTGTAATTTTATCGACAGTATGATTTGCAATGCATAATTGATTTTATTAATTTTGGAGAAGAATGTCTTTGAAGGCATATTATATATTCTTGAGAGGTATTTACGGATTTTGATGAAATTTTGTAGGCATATAGAACTTGTTTAACTTCGTCTGAATATTGTAAAAAGAATACTGATGTAATTGTACTATTCATATTTCTAGAAGTAGGTCAATAAATGTTTTTTTTACAGCACTGGGTCGATACCTCACGCAGATTAAGTCGCTATTTATTTCTGTATTACCTAAAACAGTAAAGTAGATAACAGTCAATATAAATCCAGTTGACAACATATATGTGGTCACATTGTAGTGCCAGACAGTTTGTTTTTATCCATTTTTTCCACGGCGGAACCACTACATGGTCTATTTTGATTTTTTTCTCGTCCATCTTTAAATCGTCGTATCTATGGTCATCATCTTCTCTCCTAATTTCTTCGTAATCCTGCATTTGTATTTTAGCCATCTTTATTTACTTATGAATTTTACACTTGAAATTAAACTAGTTAATGACTACTAATTTCGATGGTCCTATTAATTTATAATACATAGAAGGAAGTATTATACGGAAGCAAATGAACACGTGACCATCTTTCGTCAAATTGGAAGTAAACATGCTGAATTCGTTAACTTGTCATGGTTACTGTCTATTGGTACGATTTTACAAATGACAAAACTGTTGTTTAATAAGAAATATTTTGAAGTTAGGAACTATATGATGTATATATTAATAAGATTTCTAACTACTAGTATATCGCCATTTGAGGATTGTTTTTATATTTTCTTCTGTTTTTATATGTTTTACCCCTTTTCCAAGTATTTTCTCAGCGAGGAGACCCTTTGGTTACTATCTGTGATCCGCGGTTGCTAAATGGCATCTGGAATTTCTAATAAATCACGTGATTTTAACGCATAAAATTGAGAATGGAAATGGGGAATGTGTCAAAGAGACAACAACCCGACTAAAGAACAAACAACAGTCGAAGTCCACCAATGAGTCTTCAACACAGCGAGAAAATCCCGCACCCGGAGGCGGGCTTCCGCTAGCCGCTTAACAAAAATGTGTACTAGTTCAGTGATACGCACAGTAAAACTCAGTTTAAATGACGCTTAAGTCCGATGTCAGAATAGGTAACAAAAGAAACTAAGCAAAATGACAATGATACATACAATAACAAATGTCTACTAGCAGTTACTGACATGCCAGCTCCAGACTTCAATTAAAACGATTGAAAGATTATGTCTTCATCATATAAAAATCAAGCACAATCCCTCCCATTAGGGGT